GCCACTTCCCGCCTCCGCGCTCCTCTCCCCCTCTCTCCACCGCGGCTCTCCCCGTGGCTGCTGCTCTCACCTCCTCGCACCTCGGGTCCCTGCCCCACTGCCTCCCAGCACAAGCCTGGCAGCCCTTCCCTCACTGGCCCTTCCGCTGCTCCAGCGTGTTAAGCGGACCCTCCTTCCTTGGAATCTGGCTGCCGGGGGCCCACCCCGACACTGATTTCACTCGGAGATTTCCCTGCTTCTTGTTTTCCTTTAGGACTTTGACTATTCCTTGATGCTGGGGTTCCCTGGGGTTCCATCTCCGCGTTCTCCTTCAGCGCTCCCCACGCACCCCACACCTGCTGACGGTGAATCTGAATTTACAGTTGAATCTGTTTCCTGGACTCAAAATACCTACTTTTAAAAATAGATGTTTATGATCTTATTCTAAAAGCAGTAGACATTCACTGCAGAAGATGAAAAAAGTGGGAGAAAATAATAGAAATCACCCATAGTCACACCACACTGAGAGTTACTGTTAATATTTTAGGATTTATCTTTTTATTATCCAAAAATGGAATTATCAACCATCTTCTTTGGTAATCTCAATTTTTCACTTAAAATATATAACAGGGATTCTTCCAAAGCGTTACACATGGATATGCATCATAGTTTTGACTGGCTACATTGATTATACTGCATTTTACTTGAGTAATAAGCTAGCATGGATTTTTATGTCTATTTTATCATTCTACAAACAAGATTGCAATGAACAAGCTTGAGGTATGTCATTGTGCATAATTGTGGCTATTTTGTTAAAGGATGTAGTCTTTGACACTGAATTACTTGACCAAAAAAAAAAAATCCTTTTCAGGACTTTGCTACATATTGCCAAATTGCCCTGTAAGTTGTGACAATTTACACTCCCAGAAGTGATTTTTTAAAATTATTATCTATTAGGTATTTATACATGGATGCCTGCAACTGAACTTGCCTTCAATCCCCTCTGCAAATGTCTTTTTTATTAATTCTTTCATCACGTACATTTTTAGTTCCTCCATGAGTCAGGCACACTGTTTGAGGCATGGAGGATACAGCAGTGATACAAACTGACAAAGCTGCCCTCAAGTGTTCACATCATGTCTTTTCTGAATCACACCTTCATGACCCAGTTACCTAAGTAAAAAAAGCGAATGATTATCGTAAATATTCCCTCTTTTTCAAGCCCTATCTCCAGTCGCCAATTTCTGCCTTAACTATCTTGATTCCCCAATCACATTCCGGAGCCCCTGCCTGACTGCATTCGGCACTCAAAGCTGCTCACCTGCTCTCCAGAGGCGGCCTCCTCCTGGCCTCCATCTTCTCTACACTCTGGTCCATCCTTCTCATGCCTCCAGAATGATCACTCTAAATCTCAAATCTGATTGTGGAAGATACTTAAAAATGCTTCCCACTGCACGGCTGAGCTCAAACCGTCATCCTGCTAGCCTCGTCTCCCACCCCTGACTCTACAACTCACTCGGGGTCCCCAGAACATTTCATTTTCCTCTCAGATGTCTCCATAGCTCTGCCTGTGTTTATGCCTAGAACACCTAATCATCAGTCTAACAGAAAGCTCAAAACATGTGTCCCCTTAGGCTACATAAAAAATTAACTCAATGGATCAAAGACCTAAATGTAAAAGCTAAAACTATAAAACTCTTAGAAGGAAACAGGAGAAAAGCTTCAAGACATTGGATTTGCTAATGATTTGGGGGATGTGACACTGAAACACAGGCAACAAGCACAAATAGGTAAACTGGACTACATCAAACTTACAAGCTTCTGTGCATCAAAGGACACAATCAAGTGTGAAAAGGCAACCCACAGAGGGGGAGAAAATATTTGCACATCAAAAGGGGTTAATATGCAGAATATATGAAGAACTCCTACAACACAACAACAAAAAAAATACAAACAACCTGGTTTTAAAATGGGCAAAGGATTTGAATACACATTTCTTCAAAGAGGATATACAGATGGCCAATAAGCACACGAAAAATGCTCAACATCACTAATCACTAGGGAAATGCAAATTAAAACCACAGTGAGATACCACTTCATACCCATTAGGGTACCTATGATCAAAAAATCCCCCAAAACAATAACAGGATAACAAACGTTCATGAGGATGTGGAGAAACTTGAAACCTTTGTGCACTACTGATGGGAAGGTAAAATGGTGCGGCAGCTGTGGAAAACTGTATGGCAGTTCCTCAATAAATTAAAAATAGAATTACCATACAATCCAGCAGCTCTACTTTTGGGTATATACTAAAAGGAATTGAAAGTAAGGATTCAATGAAACATTTGTACTCCCATGTTCATAGCAGCATTAGTCACAACAGCCAAAAAGCGGAAGCCACCCAAGCGTCATTGACAGATGATGGAGAAGTAGAAGGTAGTCTATACATATAATGGAATAATAGAATAATAATCCAGCCTTAGAGGGGAAGGGGATTCTGATCTGTGCTACAATATGGATGAACCCTAAAGACATTATGATGAGTGAAAAAGAGAAGGACAAATACTGGATGATTCCACTTACATGAGGTACCTAAATTAATCAGGTTCATAGAGTCGGAAAGTAGAGTGGTGGTTCCCAGGGGCTGGGGAGGGGAAGGGGAAAACAAGGAGTTGGTGTTTAACAGCCAGAGTTTCAGTTTTGCAGGAGTGTGAAAGTTCTAGAGATGAAAGGTGGTGATGGCTGCACAGCAATGTAAATGTACTTACTGAATGGTACACTCAAAAATGGTTAAGTGAAATTTATGTTATATAAATTTTACAATGGAAACAAAACCGAAACAAAATATGTTGCCCTATTAACAGGAGGTCAGATGATCAGGTTGCTATATAAAAACATCAGACCATTACATGCATACTTAAGAGTATTGCCTGCTTTCTAAAAATTTTGGTAATAGAGTCTAGAATTTTATAATTATACATAGATCGAGTTCATTTTTGTCTAAACCAAAAATGGCTGAGGAAATGAATATATTGTTTCCAGATCAAGCCAAATGGAAAGAAATACCGGTTCTCAATGTAGTCCCCGACTTTTTACCCAACTTTTGGGAGGAAGTTAGAAAACTGCTTCCCCCCTTTCTGTCCAGTCTCCCAGCAGCAGGGAGGAACTGGGAAGGGGTGAGCTCCTACCTCGGAGTGTGAGCGTGGGCTGACTTCTCCACACTGCGGGCAGCTTCTCTCTTCACGCCTTCAGGACAAATTGACTGTTGATAAATTTGCAGATGCCGAAAATGTTGAAGGTAACTTGGGGATGGACGATGGAGAAATATTCGTCTAATCGAACCTTCGGGGTTTGGAGCCCTGGGACGTACTTCTGAATATTCACTCCAGCTTGTCTGACCTGCAGCTATCCACAGAGGATGCGTGTGAGACTACAGAAGGGACGGCACCCTGCACCCTGAACTTTCCCCTAGAAACAGCATTCTGGTCGGGCTTTGTGACTTGCAGAGGGGAGAGGGGTCAGTAATGGAATAAATACCATGGAAATAATACTATTTTAAAAATCAAATCTGCAGCTAATCTGTGAAAGAGCAATGAATAATAGCATGGGAGTGCCCCAAAGCAAAGTATTTTCCTAACAAGAAGCAGGGGTTAAAGCTCTCCGTGGGGTGATAGTTCGTCCCTTGCTGGAGTCCTCTCTGTCTTTGTCTCTGTCTCTCTTTGGAATTAATTAAAAAAGAAACTAGAAAATTCTATAACTTGGATCTGATGCCAAGGCCTGAGTGGAGAAGCCTTTCACTGAGGTGGGGAGACACCTGTCACTGCTATCTCCCGGGAACACACAGGAGGACAAAAACAAAATGACTGTCTTTTATAGAAAAAGTCCAATGCCAGCACAGGCTGTCCAGGAATAATGAACTTCACTCTGTCAGGCTATAGAAATTAACTAACTTTATGGAATAAGCTTCATCAAATTTTCTGTTTCTATGCCCAAAACTTAAAGGGAGTTTTTAAAGTAGATCAGAATTTTAAATATTAATAGTAATAATAATAGTATCCCCATGGCATTAGGGAGAAGCCGCAGTGCACAACTTTACAATTCCTTAGTTGTTTCATATGGGGTGTTTGTCCTCAGATCATAAATTCTTTGTGAGCAGAGATGACATTCAGATGAATAAATGTCATACACTGTGTCCAGCAGTCCCCTGCTGGGTGATGATTCAACATGTCTATACATTCACATAGATACAGAGAAAGTTGGAGTGGCTGAAGGCATTTTAACTGAATTTTTGGACTACATTAAATTTGCCTAATTGCCCTTAAATTGATTCATAATCAATTTAATTGACATATTTTGTCCAAGAACACTGGTAACAACCACACGTAAATGGTCACCATCCATCATACCACGCCCAGAACAGTGGCAGGAGTGGGCACAGGACTCTCCCCCTACCTTCAAGGCGCAGAAAGAGAAGCCTGGTGGAACTGAGCCACCCAAGGTGGCCACAAGGATGGGGAGTGTTAGCACCTAGAAGTCCACTCTGCCGTTGCTCCTGTGTGCTTTTGTCTCTTAGTGTAGCCGTCTTAGTGCCACTTCCTTTTTCTCCAGTGGCAAACATGCTCATGCACTCACTAGTTCAAACCCCTTGGCACTGCCCTCTTCTGTACCAATTAAGAAGATGCTACCTTCTGGTTTCCTCAGTGAAAGGATACCTCAAGAAAAGGAAGTCAGGGGTCCTGCCAGGCTAAATCCTAGTCTCCCAAACACTGGGTACGCCTCAGGGACTTAAGTCCCCACCAAGGTAAAAGACTATAGGACATACTCCCCTCCCCAGCCTATCCCCACTTCAAGCTACAGAGAGAAAAGGCCTCTTACTGATTCATCAAATACAACGTGGAAGGGAAAAGCAGTGCAGAATGTCTTCTCTTCAATCCAGAGCCGCTCAGGATAAATCGGTTCAAAGGTGTTCCTGAGATGCCCTGTTGGAGAAAAAGAGGGTCCTATTCAGAGGCCACTCAGGCCACCAACCCAAGAGAGCATCTTGAATGTTTCCCTGGGCCAAGTACAGTCCCCGCTCTTCAGCACGAGCTCCCTCCGCGTCTCCAGATGGCCACGGTAATTCTTCTTCCAAATTAAAACAAACAGAAAACTTGCTACCAGGTTGAGAAGCCCCCCTGCCCCCTGCCAAGTTTCTGCCCGCCGCTGAAGAGTTTCTGGGCCAATTGAGTGCGTCTCGCCATGAAAACAGGGCCGGCACTGAAGCGGTGACAGGCTGACAATCAGCCAGCAGAGCAGCGTGCGCCGCCCGGCACCAGGGACATTTGCCGGGGCGCTTTTGAGACTGACAGTTTTGGGTGGCATGTGAAAATTTAACCAACAGCCCTATTTGGCAGTGGCTAGAGATTCGAAATGGAGCCTTTTTGATATGAAAATCTCCTAGACAAAGGATGTCAATTGCATGTTTGACTCGCTTGCCATGGTTTGAGGGACTCAAAATGCAGCCCTTTGAGCCCCGCAGACCTTCTCCCAGACACATGTCTCCATGACCCATCAGGGCAGGACCAGGAGTCTCTGGCTCCCTCCCTGATGGGCTGGAGCCCCTGTTCAGATTCAGGTCTTAGGTGCTGATCACGAGACCAGCTCAGGGCCACCAGGGGCACCTTTGAGAGCCTGAAGCCTTCATTTTCCAGATGGAAGATGGAGGACTTTGTTCGAGGTCATAGGCTCCTTAGGGACAGAGCCAGAAATCTGCTTTCCTGGCTCATGATCCAGTGTCCTTTGCACCCCTGGACACCACGATCACCATCATTCACAGACTCCCAGGCCACACAGGCACCCCAGTCGGGAAGGCCTGAGAAAATTCATTGTTCTTGATAATACGTCATCACTCATCCTCTTTCTTGAACTTCAACGCAGCACCAATCGGGGCTGAGTCCCGTCCCCTCTCCAGAGGCTTTCCCTGACTACAGGGGAGGCTGTGCCTCCGTCAGCCCCAGCACACACAAAAGGGGCAAAGGAAGCAAATTTTGAAGTTCAAAACCATGCCTGCCAGATCCAAGCTCTGCAGAAACCAGTGACATCACAATCAGAGAGGACTCTGCCGTCTGTGTGCACGAAGTACTTATCCTGCTCGGAGAGCCAGGGTTGGGAGACGGGTCTACTCACCTTTTTCAGACAGGACTATGCTTCTCACAACTTCCCAGCCGGACTTTTTCACAGGATAAACAGAGATGCTCAAATATCTCTCTTTCATCCTAAGGAAAGCTGCCTCCAGGGCCTGTAGTCAGCAGAGAGAGAAGCATGTAGTCGGGTCATGTGACTGGTCACGTGACTGGAGATGCAGGAACCCCACTTGCTGTGATGGGGCCAGAGGAACTGTGAGGCCTCGCAAGGTCAATTTTAGCAAGATTTCATAGACCTCAAGGTGGTTATCTAATTAATCCTCATGCTGTTTCTCCACCAAAGTCAGCAAGAACTTTTTACAAAATCTCAAGAAAAGACTGGCAGGAAAATCACACATGAACATCTTCCCTTCCTGTGGTTGCAGATTCTGCAGTGAACAGACTCTGACTGGGCTTCAAATGCTCTAAGATATAAACACTGTGTGCTCCAGAAATCACAGACTTCTCTGGATATCTGTACGAGCTCTGTGGACACAAAACTACGTACCTAATAGATGTGGTACCTAAACAGAGAACGATCACTCTACAAACTACAGTTGAGGCAGTCATCCACAGGCTCATGACTTGACCCCAGACCCAGGACTGGCCCCAGCTGCCAAGGTGGGCACTCAGGACTTGAAAGGTCAATATTATGTCATAAGAATTGCAACTTTCAAGGCCCTTCTATTAGTGTTTTTAATAGGTAAAAATGTTCTAGGCTAAAGTCCATTCCAGAGAGCATCCCAGTGTTTATCTAAATGAACTTAACCCAGTGGTTCTCAACCAGTAGTGATTTTTGTCCCCTACCCCCAGCCTGGGGACACTTGGCAATGCCTGGAGACATTTTTGATTGCCACAACTTGGGGTGCTCCTAGCGTCTAGTGAGTAGACAGAGGAAGCTGCTAAACATCTTCAGGACAGCCTGTCATAACAAAGGGTATCTGGTTCAAAATGTCAACAGAAGTGAGATTGAGAAGCCCTGCCCTGACTCCACTTTTAGAAGGTCCAGCTGATTCTGTTCTTTGCATAGATTGTGTCGAGACTGGTAGCTCCACTAAGAGGAACTGTGCTTTCTGAAGTCACAGCAGACCCGGTACCTCTGAGTCTCTCTGGATGTCCTGACTGTCTTGTAATCCCTTTGGCTTCACCCTGCTCATCTGTCTGTGTGACTTCTGCATGATCAGAAACACGACATGCTCCTTCTTCCCTGTCCTCTCCTCCTCCTGACTCACATCGAGGATATCCATAGTCACGTCGATGTCGAAGAAGTCTTTGGCCACAGCCTCAATGATCCCTGCAGCAGAAGGACACCTATTGGTGAGGGATGGCAGAAGGCTGTTGTATCAGCAAACATCATGAAATCATCCTTATGCAACTTTTGAGTTCACCAAGCCCAGGCCCTGCATCAAGACGGGCAGCATATGACAGATTAATAAATTAGAAAAACAATAACTTAAAGGCAGAGACTTACATGACTGGATACTATCTATCTATCTATCCATGTATCTATATCTATATCTATCTATAGCCCTGCCACTCTGATTTCTAGTTTAGCATCTATTCATTTGTTTGTTTTTTTAGGAAGGTGCTCAATTCATTAAACAAACTTTGGAGATAATGTAAGCAAAATTCAATTGTAAAAGCATGAAGGATCATGTTTTTGAAAGTGTTCCTCTGGGAATCTATCCCAGGGTTCTAATATAAAACATGGGAAAAGCACGCATGGAGATGAGCATCGCAGCACCATTTGCAATAGCGAAAGAGCAGTATCTCCTAAAAGTTCCACAACAGGGGACTAGTTCATTACAACATGGAATATGATTCAGCCATCAAAGACGGTGGGTTTAAAGACTATGTGAAAACATGAAAGGATGCTTTTTTCTATAATACTGAATACAAAAAAAAGGATACAAAATAATACATGCAGAATTATCATAACTAGGTAAAAACCCACATAATTTAAAATGTTGAAATAAAAAATGAAAATTATTCCTTCTTTTGGCACTTTGGAAATTTATTTTAAGGGTCAACACTTTGGGGAAAATTGTTGGAGTACACAAGAGATGGAACTTTAACTTCCTCCTCACAGCTGGCTGTCAGTCATCCTGGGGAATTTGTGGGGAAAGACATCCTTACTCCGGAGATCCCAGAGCTCTGGGTCAGGTTAAGCCAGCCCCATACCTGGTACGATGTGGCACAGACCACTTCTATCCGAGTAGTAATGGAGAAGCATCTTCCCAACTGCTCGTCGCTCCACACGAAATGATGGTGCGTTCATCTCCTAATTAAAAGACAGCATATTTTCCCCAGTGGATGCAAGTTGTTTATTAAATTATGCTTTTGAGGCTTGTGAAACAACAGTACTTATTACATCACACAGAACTGTATCCCAAGCCCCCCTCCAATCACATAAAAATAAAATCTAAAATGGTTTCTGCCTCTAAGTCAGGAATTGTATGTTATACCGAATCCCCTCCCCAGCTCTATGTGGTAAAAGCACTAGCTCCATTGTAAGAAGGCGGAAACTGAGGCTGAGGGAAGTTAAGGCGGGATTCACAGTAGAGCAACATCTTAACCCCCAGTCGAGCCTTTTCCACTCTGCAGAGCTGCTTCTACATTCACTCCAACGGGTGGCTGGCTGCCGGGCTTGGCCTGTGACCAAGGGACCACCAGCATCTTCACTCTGAAAGATCAGGGGCTTGGAGGAATTGGCAGGTGGAGAAAAGTTCATTTTTCTTCTGGAAGGTTAATACCATCTGTGGCGCACAGTTGCACATTTGGAAAATCAAGGATATATCAAAAGAGATCATCTTTCTCCAGGAATAAATGTTGACATCCAAGTATGTCCCAGCTCATATGTCCAGGAATCAGGATAAAGTCTTTGCCTTGGGGAATCCCTGAGAGAAGCAATTTTCTCCCCTGGCTTGATTAGCAAGCTGCCCAGCTCCCTGGCTCACAGCTTTCGGTCTGAGTGAGGGAAGAGGTTAGCGAGGTGGCTTCCTTCTGAGACTGTCTGTTCTCTTCCAAGGTGGTGGTAGTTAGTAGTTGAGGGTGGAGAAGGGATGCTAGTTAAAATGAGGGTTTTTCCCCCAAGTATTTATTTTATCCTTCCAAAAGCATATATAGAGAGAAAGTATGTATTTCTGCATTTCCATTTTGACTAAAGAAGATTTGAGGCAGGACATATAAAAAGCATACGATAAAGCAGAAAATTAAAAGTTATTTCAAAAAATTATATCTGAAAAAATTACTCAAAAAGTTTTCAAAATAATACCAACAGAATATAAAAGGGCTAAAATGAAAATCTACAAGCTTTTGCTGCCATGTCCACCCTCACTCCTCCCTCTAGCCCAGGCCCCTTCCCAGGGACACAGCTCAGAGTCTACGCTTTTCATCCTTCTGGTCAGTGTCTCCTAAAGAATAAGATTATACAATGCATCTGGGACTTCAGAGCCTCATTCCTCTCACCTTCCTGAATAGTGCACAAAACAACAACAGGACAGACCTGACTACTCATCCTACTCGAAGTCAGTTAAGTCTCCAAGCCTCTTGTTCTTTATCTGAAAAATGGAGAAGATAACCATTTTCCTGCTTAACACCTCTAAGGGGCAGCGTGCTTCATGAGGCACTTCCACATGCATTATCCCATGACAACCCTTCAAGGGTAGTTACGCACATTCAATACAGAAATGGTGGGGAAAGAGATGAGCAAACTGTCAAGGGCCCTAAAAATACGTATCAACTATTTTATATAAAATAATAAACTATTAAGATATGTGCAAATGCCACTTTTCCTTTTCAATAAAGCATTTTCTTTTTAAGAAAAAAGAAAAGGGAGTCTGCCCATTTAAATTTCCAATGATCTCTTCAAACAAGAAAACCGAGGACTGAACTCCAGAAGGACAGACCCCACTAGGGAAATGAGTTTCTTAGCACCTCCGGCAGCCACTCTGTGGGTTAATCAGAGTTGGATGGTTTCCGATGCCGGCTCTTGGCCCTGTCAAGTCTCTCCTTCTGATACATGAATAAACGGATCTGGCTGCAGAAGCTATTTATCAGCTCCTTCCAGGCCAGGAAACCTGAGGAGAGATTTTGCAAATCCTCTGAAACCTGACTGGCCCTAGCCTTTGTCCTGTTGTGACCCATCTTCTGGATCTAACATCAAACCCACCCCAGAACGCTATCAGAACGGGCCATCCTCCAGCACAGAGCTGACCTCTCCAGCCAGCTCTTGTTTGTTGTGGCCAGCCAGCTTATGAAAGTGGCCAACAGGTTTTCATTTTCCATTTCTTGCTCCAGAGAACTCCTCCACCCACTGACACTGCGTCCCAGGGCTTCCACAGGCCCCTGGCAAATGCACCCTCTTGAGGGGTGGGTGCTGGCCTTGAACTGCTAGAGGCATTTGCTTCCTCTCAGGGCCCCCAGATTCAGACCCAGATCGGCTTACCTGATAAGACAGGGCCAGGTAACTGTGGAGGGCATCTAGGTTTTCAATAAACTCTGTGAGATCTCCTCCCAGGGTCCGCAACATCCTGTCATAGCCAGACGCCTTACAGAATTGGAAGAAATGTTCCCCAAAGAGTTTCAGAATGGCTTCCATGGAGACACCTGCGGAACCCAAAATCAAAGCACCTGCCATGTGTGTGTTCTCACAGGGGCCGTCTTCACTCATTTCCAAAGGGTTCCAGTCCCCGCTGTGTGATACAGGACTGAATTCTCTCGAAGCCTTCACTTTCCTCATCAGTACATGCCAATAACATTGATGTCATGGGGCCACTGTCAGAAGCCCTGTACAGCCCTGGCACCTGGCAGGTGCTCATGAAATTAGAGAGTCCCCCCTAGTCCTACCCGACTCCTTTCCGTGGCTCCCGTGTCAGAAATTTCTCTAGAATCCACAAGGGGGTTCAAAGCTGCCATATTCCTGTGACAATCTCACTTTCCACCACTAGGCATCTTTAAGTACAATGCCTTTTAAGCAGACTAAAAAGCTACCACTGAGAAATAATTAGTACTGCAACTAAAAAACAATACTGGCAAATTTCTATCATATTGATTGACCCCCAAAGAGGATGCCAAATGTTTGCAGAGGCTTCCCTTTCCTCTCTTGTCTTCTCTGCACCCTAGTTTTCTTTCCAGGGGCAGTTTCTACATCACATCCTCCATAAAGACTTCTCTGAATATCCCCTGTCACACTGTCCTCTCTCTAAGAGCTGCATTTTTCTCTTCTCCCTCCCTATGATAGTTCCGGAGGGCAGTGACCTCGCTCTACACGGTTTCTCTGCTGGACACAAAGTAGGTGCTTAATCAATCCCTGGGGGTAGATTTGCGGCATGAGAGGGGCTCCTGCCCCATCTGCTCCTCTGAACAAGACAGCGGGCCATTGTTTGCTTGACGGACGGGCCGCGCGTGTGTTTTAAGAATATTTGACAGTTCCTGAAACACTCGTGAATGAGTGTTATTTTACTCTGCCTGCCAAACCTTGTAAGATACGTCATCTTATCATCATGTCCCCCTTTGTACAGGTGAGCCCACTGAGGCTGAGAGTCACCTTTGTGAATTGACCCAAATCACCCAAAGTGGAAGAGGCTCTAACTCCAAAGTGGGTGCTTTCGGTGCCACATCCCACAGCTCTGGAGCAGCGGAGAGGCAAGCGGGTCTCCCCCAAGGTGTAGGATGCTTACAGGCTTTCATTACTGACACAGGAGACAGTGCATCTATCAATGCTGGCGCCCTGGTGCATCTGTGAGAGAACATTCCCATATTTTTGATGGTGTGGTGACTCCTGGGAGGTCCTGGGGGGTGGGAGAAAGTCTGGAGCACCCAGGTTGGCAGGACACCTGCCAGATTTGCAATCACCGGGATCCCTGGCTGACCCCCTATGATGCTGAGGATGGGTCTGGAATTCACAGCAAGTGGCTTTCCAGGCCTCTTGCGCTTTTCAGGGCCAATTCCTACAGGGAAGGCGAGGGATCCGAGGAGGTCTGGGCACTTTCCAGCCTCTACTTGCTTCCTAAGATGGTCTGAGCAGCAGATTTCCCACAGCTCATTGTCCACAACCAGAATACTCAGCAGATCATTGTTCTGTAAACTGAGCAGAACACAGCCCCCACTGAGTTGGCCTGGTCTTGTCAGAGATGAGTTATTTATCCATCCCCAAAATGTATTAGCTAGGACTTCTGGTTCCAGACAGAGCTTGGGCCGGTAGGGTGGGAGGTGGTAAGGGTTTGTGTTAATTGCCTCTGTTGGGCTCTCTGCTTGTGGGTCCATCCCTAGCTGGATGCAGGCAGGTTTGTCTGTAACAGCAACAAGAGCCACCTGCTAAGCCCCAAGGCAGCCGAAATAATAAATTCTACTCAAGTCTTTCTCAATTTTGATGAGTCCCCGGGAGAGGGACTCCTGATCAGTGCGTGGCCAGGTGTGGAATTGTTCCTTCCTCTTTCCTCCGTCTACCCCTCCTTTCCTGCAAAACCTGCTTGTTCAAGCTGAGGAAAAAAACAGCTGTGCTGTGGGTCCCCTAGGCTGGAGCTCTGGGCAAGTGTATCCTATTACTTGCCAGCAAAGCCTAACCCCAGGGGCCTCGCCCTCCCAGGGACCTCCCTCAGGAGGACTGGGCTGTCCACAAGCCAAGACAAGTCATAGTAAAGTTTTGCAGCCTTGCGCAGAAAGACTGTCGGCTTGACTTTTAGGTCTATAAACCTGCAGAAATCCATGAGGCTGCTTGCTCCAGAGACTGATTATTGTTTCTGGGCACCCAGTTCTGTTAATAAGAAAGGACACCTGGCCGAGGGGTGGACTGTTCCTTGAACGAGGATCTTGAGTCTGGGTGCGGTATTTTCCATCCATGCTGGGTTTGGGGCTTCCTCTAGGATTCGTAGCTGAGAAAGCTTGTCTAGCAGAGGACGAAGGTTACTTTTCAAAACCAGCACCTGGACTGTGTTGTTACACAGTTTCCCCTCAGTGAACCTGGGATTCCACGAGGTCCCTAAGTCCCAGGGGGACAGGGATATAGAAGAAATGACAAGAAAATGCAAGAGAGAACTAAACACAAGTCATAGGTGCCTGAGCATACTTTTTTGGATCATGTAAAGGAGAGTCTATAGCCTGCTTAGTACCCTGTCTTTTGTAGAGCAAAAAGGGGGGGAATAAGGAAACATGCATGAACCTGCTCATTTGTGCCAAAACAAACACCAGAGACTATTGAGATGGGTTACCTCCGCAGCGTTGGGAACGGAGTGGAAATGTTAGAACCACTGTGGAGTGTGTGCGTGGTAGGGGGCGGACACTTCTCTGAGCATCAGTTTTTGCACAGCTCTGATTTGGGGAATCATGTTCATGATTCACATGCTTAAAGAAAATAAGTAACATCGAGAAGTACAGGGAAGACTCTAAGGTGGAATACAAACAAACAAATTAACAGAACAGTGTTTCAACAGGACGGTTCTGAATACAATAGTTTCCCAGGAAAAAAAAATAATAACACGGTAAAATTTGAACACAGTATTTAGACGCTTTCTCCTTAGGCTAAAGACAAAATGAACTTTAAACAAATATTTGACTGTAGTGAGTAGGCTTCCTTCCCGCAGCCGTGTGGGTCAGCAGTGCTGAAACGCCTTTCTGTACATTCGAGGATTAAACCTGTAAATAAGTATACGGTGGGTGACGGGAACCAGGTTTCTCACTGTGTGAGAAAGAAGAGCAGAATGAAGCCTGTGGGGCAGATTAGGAAATCTACCCTAAGAAGACCACAGACCCGATCACAGTTTCAGATAGATGGGTGGACAGAAAGATGGGGAGATAGATAAACAGACAGGTGGATGGGGTGTGTGTGTGTTGTGTGTGTGTGTGTGTGTGTTCAGATGGCAGATTTCAGGGTTGGGGCAGGAAAATGATGAGTTTATAACATCTTGAAGCCTCATAGAATAAAGAAGTGATCAAAGAATTATGGAGATGTGTCAAAAGGACACAAGGGCCAGCCTGGGGAGGGTGGGGGGCTCTCACTGGCTAAATCTTGAACAATTTGAGCATCAAAATAATGCAAGTGAAGGATTACACCCTACTTAAAAAAGTAATAATCAAGAGTTCACATTGGGATAGATAGATAAATGGAGAAAATTCTTCCATATAGTAGAAATTCAACTAATAAATATAAAAGGATGATATGCTTAGAAAATCACCATTTGACCACCATCATAATTATTACTTCAGATGAGAATCACCAATGAATACACTAAGGAAGGAGGAGTTTGAGAAGCAACAAGATATACACAAAGATGGAAGTCTCTTCTTACCAGATACTCATTTCAAAGGGAAAAAATAACTACAGTGGAGAAACCTGGCAGAGCACCTTAACCACACCATCAAAGCTAACACCAGTGATGGGACAAGTCAACATAAGATGCCTCCTCATACGATGAACTGGAAGGGACG